CTGGCGACGTCGACGTGTGTCGCTCCTTGTTGGACCATTTCAACGGCTCTCTCTCTCTCGATGGCTGTGAAACGTGGCATATCTTGTGTTCTTTTTGTGGCTGTGATATCAACGTGTCTGATCAGCCGTTTTATACAGTTTTTATGCACGTGCAGAACATGCTAGAGAGGGAAATGTCACTTTCATGAAATTTATGTGTTTTCCCGGAAGTGATCACGTGTTCCCGGTATTTTTATCGACTATGCTGTGTTTGGGATGTGCAATATGAATTGGCATGTTTTCATATTAGACAATTCACTTAGTAAAAAACAATTTTGAAAATAAGTTGGTATCGTTTCTTTTGGACACTAGTTTATGTTAAGTTATATCAGGACATATTTACTTTGAATACTTAAACAGATTAAAATAGAATCTGATATCAATAACAAGGTCATGATTGAATGATACAGGTTTCACATTGCTCTCGCCAGCTTACTCTACTACTGTGATGTCATAAAACACATTGAGCAAAATTCAATCTAAAGAAAAACCTCAAGAGATTAACTCTTGTTAAAGATTGTATTGATATATGGAAGAGGTGTTACCAGAGAGCGTGAGAATCACATAAATGTAGGCTTGTTTATTATCTATAACAAACCCCTCTCTACTTGTAACTCTGCACATATTTCGATTTTAAATTTGTTTCCCATAATGAATTGATTGAAGTATAGAGTACATCAGACGGGACTTCAAAACAATTCACTGAGAAAGTTCCGCTGGCACTCTAAAACAATGTTATATGTTATATATAAGTTATATTTTGGTAGTTCAAAAGTTTGTAAACTTGTAGATAATTATTGGCAATGATAAAAATTAGTAAAGGAAATGTCATGAATTCATAAAATAGTAGAAGAGCATAGTAATAGCAAGTGATAGTCAGAATTATCCTCAAACGTCAAACGTCCAAGAGGATGGTCCTAGAAGACACAAGAATTTATAGATTGAGCTTAACTGAAACTGCAGAAAGTTACTGGATGGCAAAACGAATCTATTGTTTAAGAAACATAGTTTGGAGCATTAAATATGCATAACTTTAATTAAACTTGGTTGCATATATAGCAGCCTGAGGCTAGTTAAAACTGCAGGAATCTACGAGTTTTGGTCTTGGTTTTGCTTATCTTTTGACCCTATTATGGTAGAGTCACTAAGTTTCTAGCCTGGTGATGATTGTCAAAATAGCAGCAAGAGGTTGTTAGAGTGAGCAAGTTTTTAACAAGCTGACACTAATCTTGGAGGAGTCAAGATATGTCCAGCTTGTTGACAACCATCAAAATTGATGAGAGGCTAGGTTAGAATCAGCACGTTTTGGTCTTCTTCTCTTCTCACTTGTTGTTCTATTTCTGACACTAATCTTGGAGTCGAATCAAGATATGTCCAGCTTGTTGACAACCATCAAAATAGCAACAAAGGGTTAGGTAAGATTCTAGGTAAGAATCAACAAGTGGCCTTTACTAATTTATATTGATGTTTGAATATTGCAGGTAAAGAAATATTCGTGGGTTATGGAAAAAGGAGTAATTTTTTGGGAGCTCAGGCTGTGGTGGAAGCATTCAGTGATTATAGAGTGAACGCTATCAATATAACTAAATGTAAATCATTCTTACATCTTAAAGATGTGGTCAATATGGCCGGGAGAAACATCCTAGCTGTTGGTGGAGGAGATGCTGAGGAGACAGCTGATGCTAACTATGTTTTAAGGGTAAGCTTTTTCTCTTATTTTGAGCAATACACTGGCCAATTTGACCTTGACTTTGGACAGTATTTGCTAGCTATATCTAATAGTTTAAAAGCTCATCTGCCATCATATGCTGCCAACATGTCTATGTATTAAGCTATACATGCATATTTTCTTTTGTCTTACTCGTGGTATGTGTTCGAGCTTTTCTGGGTTTTTTTTTCTCCAAAATTGGTCAGTTTCACACAAATTGAGGATGTCTTGTATATTTTTCAAGAAAATAAATATTATTTAAAACAAATCAATATTTTAAGAAACAACAGTTTTTATGGATATAGACTTCTATTTATTATTGAACACAACGTTTCATTACACATACAGGTTACATTCTCAAGTGATCGATAACGTTACCTGTATGTGTAATGAAACGTTGTGTTTAATAATAAATAGAAGTCTATATCCATAAAAACTGTTGTTTCTTAATGTGCTGTGATACTTCTACAATCATATGTATCATTAGAAATTAATTTCACAAGCATTGTTGTTTGTGTGTAAAACAAGGCAGGTGTTTTTAAGAAGATATGAAGCTGTAAATCATTCTCACGGATCTGAATTGTCTCCTCAACCAGCTGCAACTACAACACATTCCTACATATTTCCCTACACCTCAAATAAGGGACAGAGACAATAAATCAGATTGGCCAATCTACACACTTGTAAATAGCTATTTTGATGATTTGTTTTGTAAATATGAAGTTCATAAACATTATACAACTTCCCCTTGCTGCCTTATACAAAGCTATTTAAATAAAGTTCACCATGGAACTGTCTGTTTATTGATAAGGGAGGATGGTTTATATAACATGATATATTTTCTGTGTTTTTTTAGGAGATGCAGAATTTATCAGACTGTTCTTACAAGATACTTCACCTTGACAACCGTCTGGGAGTAGATATGTTATATATTAATGGACGTCTGATTCACAGAACAAGAGAGGAAATGGGAGAGAAGAATTATGGAGTAAGTTAATTATCTAGTATTAATGCATTGTTCTCCAATAGTTCCAACTAGAGGTGCCCTCACACCATAGCAATCACCAGTTGCGTTTGATTGCCATTAAAAATAGGTGTCTTAAGTTTCAAATGGAACTCTGTATCTAAGTTATGAGCTGCATTCCCAATATATGATCTCTTTAATTATTGGTAACCATACACAACTGGTGATTGATGGTGTGAGGGCACCTTTAGTGATTCAAATATCTGCCGAGGATCTTTGAAGATCTGACACAGTAACGCACAGTAACTCACAGTAACTCACAGTAACTCACAGTAATTATATATTTAATTACATTTAGTTGTATTAAAATTCATATTACAGAACTGTAACTTAAGATTATTGATATTCCATGAATCATCTTAAACAAAGAGATATGTATTAACTTATTAAAATATAATAGTTCGTTACCAATGGTGTAGGTTTCAAATCAGTTACAACTAAAAAGAAATTACCTACCGAAAGAATTGATTAAAATATGAAAATATTGTTTACATTAAAGGGACAAGATTAGAATTTTCAGAGGTTAATTTTGGTTTGAATATATGACAGTCTTCAGAAGAAGTAGAACTGTACAAAATCACATAATTCCTTCAAATATACATCAAAATTCACTCTCTATAATTTCTTTATTGCCCTTCTCCATCGCGAAGTCTCGAGAAAAAGTAATGCTGCTTTCAAATGGAGATCAGTATGGATACAATTGAATACAGGGCTATTCTATTGGACACGTATCTATAAACATAATTACTGATTAGTTTAACGGAACATTTCTAGTTTCTCAGACTGTGGTATAATTGATCAAAAACTTGATGAATGTGTCCCTCTATTGGGATTTTTTAATGATAAGCCCATCCATATCAGTTAAGAAGATTTGAAAACATTTTCTGTTTTCTAATATCCTGGAGAATTATGTTTTTTACCTAGATATACCATCAAGCAGTTTAGATGCACTGTTATATCAGGTACAACTTATATCAGATTAGAAGTAAAAAAAAAATGTGATAAAAAAAAAGATATCAAAGAGGTTTTTCAATCTTTTCAATGCATATTTGGTATATATAGCTTCTATTTACACCATTTACATTTATCTGCAGATTTCTGTGGTTCCTGCTGTTCCAGATATACTTACCAGATTTTGACACTACTACTGCAAATACTGTCTGAATATATTCATTCACAATAGTATCTGCCAAGTGACATCAGAGTCTGAGAAAGATGGCCTAAAAATACAGGAACCACAGATGTTCATGGTTATTTAGAATTTTACAAATATAAGTCATGCCTCCCCCTGGTGATTAATAATTGATACTAAAATAAAACTAATTACTGAATTATTAGAAATAATAAACTGATTTTGCTGCATCCAAGAATAGAATATTTGAATGTGTGTTTACTCATATTTAGAGGTCATGCTTGTGATTATACAGGTCTTGCTTGTGATTAAACAGGTCTAGCTTGTGATTATACAGGTCTAGCTTGTGATTATACAGGTCTTGTTTGTGATTATACAGGTCATGCTTGTGATTATACAGGTCAGCTTGTGATTATACAGGTCTTGCTTGTGATTATAGAGGTCATGCTTGTGATTATACAGGTCATGCTTGTGATTATACAGGTCATGCTTGTGATTATACAGGTCATGCTTGTGATTATAGAGGTCATGCTTGTGATTATACAGGTCTTGCTTGTGATTATACAGGTCTAGCTTGTGATTATACAGGTCTTGCTTGTGATTATACAGGTCTAGCTTGTGATTATACAGGTCTTGCTTGTGATTATAGAGGTCATGCTTGTGATTATACAGGTCTTGCTTGTGATTATAGAGGTCTTGCATGTGATTATACAGGTCTAGCTTTTGATTATAGAGGTCTAGCTTGTGATTATACAAGTCTTGCTTGTGATTATAGACGTCTGGCTTTTGATTATAGAGGTCTTGCTTGTGATTATAGAGATCTTGCTCGTGATTATAGAGGTCTTGCTTGTGATCATAGAGGTCTTGCTTGTGATTATAGAGGTCTTGCTTGTGATTATAGAGGTCTTGCTTGTGATTATACAGGTCTAGTTTGTGATTATACAGGTCTTGCTTGTGATTATAGAGGTCTTGCTTGTGATTATAGAGGTCTTGCTTGTGATTATAGAGATCTTGCTTGTGATTATAGAGGTCTTGCTTTTGATTATAGAGGTCTTGCTTGTGATTATAGAGGTCTTGCTTTTGATTATAGAGGTCCAGCTTGTGATTATACATGTCTTGCTTGTGATTGTACAGGTCTTGCTTGTGATTATACAGGTCTTGCTTGTGATTATAGAGGTCTTGCTTGTGATTAAACAGGTCTTGTTTGTGATTATAGAGGTCTTGCTTGTGATTATACAGGTCTTGTTTGTGATTAGAGGTCTTGCTTGTGATTATACAGGTCTTGCTTTTGATTATAGAGGTCTTGCTTGTGATTTTACAGGTCTTGCTTGTGATTATACAGTTCTTGCTTGTGATTATAGAGGTCTTGTTTGTGATTATACAGGTCTTGCTTGTGATTATAGAGGTCTTGCTTGTGATTATACAGGTCTTGCTTGTGATTATACAGGTCTTGCTTGTGATTATAGAAGTCTTGCTTGTGATTATAGAGGTCTTGCTTGTGATTATAGAGGTCTTGCTTGTGATTATAGAGGTCTTGCTTGTGATTATAGAACTTAACTCCATCTAACTGTTTAAGAGAAACAATACTTAGCTAGTTGGATTTGATGGTTTTTTTATAATGTATATAGCTCAAATTCTCCCCTACTGATCTATTTTATTACTATTGATATTGTTATAATAATGTTATTAGTGTTCATTATGCATATTATTATTCCTGACAACTTAACCATATAAATCATTTTATAATGTGTGGATTGCCTGATGTAAGAATCATTCTATATTTCCCAGTTCGACAATTGTCCAATTTCCTGCTATGATGATTAATGTGATTATGTTCCTCTAGCCTGATCCTCGAATGCTTGCTGGCTTTTCTCATCATCTCTCACACCTGTAAAACTAGTAGGCCTACATATTTCTATGGTGTAGACCACCATTTGCTAATTTGTGACTAATATTATTCCTGGAATATTCAATTTAGATCGGTCTCATTTCCTCTACATTGAAACTGATTATCTAGATATTGGCAGGTGTCATGCTCGAGGCAGAGTATGCTCACTCTTTCTGGAACACCTGATACTATCTCTCTCTCTCGAGAAGTCAACTTTTATTTAGTTTCATTTCTGAGATGTTATTTACCGATTGTTTTTTCACCCGATTTTGTCCTGTCCCACTGTTTTTGAGACTTTGGTATTCTTTCATACTGGCCAATCAAAATGCTTATACATACAGTTTGTTTTGTATATATGAATAGGCCTATATGTGAAGTTTCCATGACAGATTACTTGTAAGAATGGTCCTGCAATCTTTTATGATAATAATTTTATATTGCTTCATATGCTGATCCTTAGTTTGGCAATGTACAATCATATGATGTACACTAACCCTTTAATTAATAAAATTAGAATTTGTCTTGGCTCTCTGTTTCGCATCTTTGAAATGTGCCCATTGTTATTGTGAGCCTACTATTTTGTGTTGTACTGGATTTTTATAATTGAATGAATTTGCATTTTGAAGATGTTATGATGAAATAACAGTTTAACCCTGTCTGGTATTTAGACTGTAATAATAACACAATTAGAATCTAGAATTTGTTGCATACGTCAATCAGACTAAGAGAAGGTAACTCTTGGATGACTGATTGTACTAACTTCCTTTCAGCCTGTTTCCTTCACTCTTTCAATACCAGAACTTCTATTTTTACACTGATGTACTTTGGTTTATTTTAAAGGCTGACATGGAAAAAGTGTCTAGTCGTTCAGATGGGACAATAAGCAGAGGCCCCGTGTGCTACATGCTGTGCACGTTAAAGATCCCTCGACAGTTGGAAATCGAAAAAGAGCAGGCTTATGTCGCTGTCCTGGCAAAATTTCCCTCATTGCACCCTGCATGGCATTGCCCACATGGTACAGAAAAGTAGGACGCAAAACTCCATTCATTTAATTCATTAAGATAAAACTAATTGTTTTTATGATATAATAAAAAATTTAATGATCTGAAAGTGAACTGAAACTAGATTGACAGCTAGTGTTAACTTTATATTTGACTTAAGGGAAGAGGACAAAGAAAATATTTAGAAAAAGTTTCCTTGTGAAATAATAATGATTTTAATTAGTAATATCAATATTAAGGAAGGAAGTCTTCCTTATGTGATATTTAGTCATAGGATCCTAATTCAAATTATATTCTCTAATTAATTTCCTGGGTTTTGGGTTTGTTTGGTTGACTCCACTTGTCATCCATGATTTTACAAAATTGGTATGTATGTCCTGTTCCAGGTAATTTATTATGAATAAAACAGAATGGGAATTTTAAAATGGAAACTTGACTAACATACATTTTTTGATGTAAAGAAAATTAAGGCTGAAACCAACTTAAACTAAACTTTACTAACTTCTTGAGTTTACATTTGTAATGGCCATCCAATTGTTTCAATATCAATCAAACAGAAAGACATTCGCCGGTCAAATATATAGGCAGTCACTTGTCTCACCTGAAAAGACATTCAATGGTTGAACAAATAGAATTTTGGTATAAAGAGAGAAGGAATAGGTTTAAAGGATACCAATATAGAAAGAATATAGAGATTTTGTTGACAGGAAGTTGTTGGTGTATATGGTCCAGACAGATTTGAGATCTCAGTCTCAGAATTAACGAAAGCTGGAGGTCGATTCTCCTCGTTACCACAATTAATTATAAAACTACGATACTATAAGAATATTACATCATCTATATTGTAACTACTTATAGGTATTTATAGTTCTGTATGAGTCACATCCATTCTGCTACCAATAGAATGATTATATATATTATGATTGATGAGAAAATATTATCATTCTAGGAACACCAGACTGGATTAGGCTCTTAACTTTAAAGATAGATTTTTAAATAGATAGGTTTTATCGAATCGTGATATATCAACTTTACAAAATTTTGCCGGATCTCTTGTTTCCTTATTAAGTTTAAGTTGAAAACACTGTGGTTTTTATTTTGGTTATCCAATTTATGAACTTACAGGATTTTTTGGGAGAAACTGTATTTGAAACTGTTAGTGTTGACATCATCTGATGAGTCAATATTAAATATAGTATCATTGTATTTACCAAACTCTATTTTTTCAAAAATACCTGCCTCAGGTTCCAGATACACTAGTGTAAGGTATTTTATCAACTTTCATCACTCGAGTGCCCTAGGGCTTTTTTGATGTCTTTTTAAAGTTATTTCAATGATTCAGTGATTTAGTCATAACATTTGATATACAACCTGATATATCTCAATTTAAGCCCCCCGGTTCCCAATGTAGGGTCCTGGGAGTGTGGGACTGGTGTGTCGGGGGTATGGACAACTGTTGTTTTTTTTGGGGGGGTGGGGGGATATTAGATAGTTCCAAAGGAAACAGTAACAGCCTTCCCACTGAGCATCTTATTGTACCTGTATGATTATATATTACTTATTATATATCCATTATTATCTGTGATTATTATGAAAAGTTTTGAATGTCCATTGTTTTGGGGTTGTGTGAAGGCTGAAAAAGGTTGGGAACCACTGTTTTAAGCCATCTGTTTCACTTTTTAAAGTGAAGATCAGTAATGTGGTTGCCCTCAATTCAAACGAAATGTACTGTAAATTTATGAGACTATCATCACTTAATTAACTATTATTTTTACAAGCCTATGATGTCTGCTTTAGGTCTTGAAAGTTAGAACTATTATGAGTTTACTTTGCGAATTGCGAGAGAAATAATGATATTTCTATAAACAATACAGATAGCTGAAAAGGTGCCATATAAGCTGGTAAAAACAAATCTAGATGACAGTTCTATAAATAAATTATTCAACATCCACTAACTTACATTTTAAGTTTTCAATTTTTAGACATATAGTGTAACTCACATTTTCATGACAAACTTGGAACAAAATATAAAATTTCATTTACTTAGTTTAGTCAGTAGAAGATATAAATTAATTTTGTTGTCTAGTTTATGGATATTTGTTGGCCTCTTCTCAACATCCTGTATGATATGACTTGTGGGTTGAAAGTTGGCACTACTTTCTTGGCACATTATCCGTCTTCACATAGAGTAAAGAATAAAGAATGTAATTTATTAGAATGTATTACTGTATTTTTGGACCAAAATCAATAAGAACCATACAAATAAGGTGCTTGCTAGATAACCTAAATGATTGGGGTTAAGATATTGGAAAAAGTGGTCTTTTTTTAATCTAGATTCCATGGCAGGGGTGCAGCAGGAAGGGCATAGATCAGTAATACACATAGAATCCAAACTAAAAGTCATAAGGGTTTTGGATGGACACTGAATTGGCAAAACGCTGAAATCAATGGAAGAAATTTTGAGACATACCAACTTTTTTGAGACGTTCTTATCTTATGTAAAACAAATCATGCAGATGCGACTAGTTTTAATTTTAGGAAAATGTACTAAGCGAACATTTGGGTATACCTACTTTTCATAAAAATTCCCTTGCTATTATATTATTATTATTTTATTATTATTATTATTTTATTATTATTTTATTATTATTATTATTTTATTATTATTGCAGGTAATAGATGAGAAGATTCCGTACACCAGACATCGTGTAAATTTAACAGAACTAAGTAAGGCGTATGGTTCTATATCCAGTATGTTATTACCTATCTATAAGAAACGTAACCAGATGAACGTATTATCTGATTTAACTGAAGATGAGATGGCGCCATTCTGTCACACTCATACTCATCCTATATAGGTTTTATATTTCACTCCTCTTTTCTCAACAAAAATTTTACAATCAATTAAAATTGAATGTTTCATATGTTAAAATACAACTTGTATTGGTTGTATACTAATATTATGTTATTTACTGGACTTATATACTTATACTTTATGCTATGGCGGAGTTCACTTGATAAATGTTTTGAACCATGGACCAAATTGTTAATATTTTAGAAGTTCAAATGAAACTCATTTTAAGATTTTTCGGAAACCAGGGCTAGAACATTTAACTCATTTGTTTATATACAATATTACATTTTCCAATTATATTTAACACAATATAAACACCTACAGTCTATTTTGTTTTGAGGTAAATAATGAAATTATATGTACAAAATGTGTTATTTTCGAAGTGGCCTACTTGTGTTTATACTTGAATTATTCTTTTCATATGATATCTTATCTTTCATTATATTTAATATCATTAAAATTTACTTTTTTTCAACAAAAATGAGTTTGACATTGAGAATTATTTTGTATAAACTTGTTTATCACAAGTGTTCAGATTCAGATTTCAGAACAAAATGCCATAACTTTTACATTTGACTTTCAAAATTATATAATTTGATTTCTTGCAATTCATGTTGAAATTTTTATATATTTTAATTTTTCACCTTAACCTAATGTTTGATTTATAATAATTAAATCAGAAGTAAAATTTATTACACTTAAAGTGGAGGTACAGATGGACCTAGTGAGAACAACGGGATTCTTAACCAATACAAGTAACTTGATACATCTGAGAGAATCTGATTCATTGCTGAATTCAGTCACGATAACAGTAGAAACTGTAATTGCCATTGGTTGCTGGTGTTCTCTCTAGAAAAATAGGCAATGGATCTGACAAGATGGTATGAATTACTAACAGATCTTTAATTCAAATTGGGTATATTATCTATCATCAATGTTATTTCAAATGACCCCGGAATATAAGGTTTGACTACCAGCTATACCTATATATTATATATAAAACACAGGCCTGGTGATTATAGTGTTTATATTTATCATTTCTTATCATGATTTACGTGCATCGCAATTTAAAGTTAAACATGTTTGTGAATTCAAATTGACTTTTTTTATTACTTTTATGCAAAATTATTAGGTTGTGAACTAAGTGAAAAATCTGTCAGGGTTTTTTGAGGGGATTTTTCGTTTGTTTTTATTATGTGAAAGAAGAATGTAATCAGATTTCTCACAAGTTAATGCTTCTTAGAAACAAGTAGGATGTAATATTAGATTGAAATTTAAAGTTAAAGTAAAGATAGCTGATATCAAGTTCAAGGAAATATTCATACATGTCGAGTTCTTTTCAAACACTATAATTTAATATACTATATACTTGTATTAGTTTGAATGTTTATTATGATAAGTGACAAAATATTATACAATCAGATTTATTTAATGCTTATTAGAATTTCAAAAATAGTTTGCTTATTTCAAATTATTCAAAGGCTTCTTTTAAAGGGAATTTTTTCATCAGTTTCCTTTTCAATTATTTTGAGTTCTAATAGTATGAATGCTTTTGAATTTATTGGACCATAAGATTGACAAGTATTACCTTAATAAAATTTGAATTAATTGTACACATTCTGTCTTAATAGGTGCTGATTTCTTTCATGTCCATTGAGTAGCAAGTTCGAAATAACCCACTGAAAATAAATAAATTAAATTTTTAGATTTGTATTTAAATGTATTTGATCAGATTGATTGAAGTAACCCACAGAAAATAAATGGAATGAAATATTTTAATCTGTATTGTAATTTAATTTTAATGTTAACTAACATTTGATATACTCCAGCCATTCCTTTTTGCTTTCATTAGTTGTTTTAAAAGTTGAGATTTATAGTTGAGTAAAGATATTTCTACAAATTGAGGGGAAGATTCAAAACATAAATACTGGCCAGGGTCTCAATATTTTGAGATGGTTTAAATAATAATCAACACAATACAAGACTTTTAAAGTTTAAATTACTATTTTTCAACCCAATACACAAGACTGCTGTTGTTTTGGTTTTAAAATGGCCTCCTGATGTGAAGAAATATTGTCTAAGTTAGGTTTTTAAAGATATATTTTGTAGTTTATTTGTTGTTTTTAATATTAGAGAGCTTCAATTCATCTGCCATGTAATCATTTAGTTTATTTTTTAATTGTCTGAAATACAACATTTATATTACCGACTTCAGACTTTTCTTTAGATGTCCACATGGCAATTGGAGGGCAGTAGGTTAATATCACTGCACTGGCGATATTTCCCTCATTTTACACTGCATGGCATTATATATTTTTAGATTGGAAAGAGTCCAGTCGTTCCGATATATATATACAATATATATACATTTTAAATACTTACATTAGACTTTACTTTATAACCCCAAATGTCAATCTGAAAAGGAGTAGGTGTCACTGTTCTGGCAATATTTATCTCATTGGACACTGCATGGCATTGAAGTCATGGAAGGCAGTAGGTTAGTTTATTTATTTTCGTTACGTTACGCACTTCATAGGCTGTCTGCCTAGCTGTTTATAATCCCTTCCTATTGGCATTTCTCTTGTGTTTTTACCGACAAGCCACTCAATCCGTTTTATGTCTTTGGTGAACATGCATTTTTGTGCTTTATTTTAAGGATCACGTGCGAATCACTTTTCAGATTTAGATTTTCCCATCACAATGAGCAGTCGGAAATAATCCCTACAAACGTTATTGTTGTGTTAGGGCATTGTAATTTGAATGGACAAGTATAGAACTTGCTATATATAATTTTTTTGTCGAAAAATGGATAATTTGATTTCCTCGGTTAATAAGACCATGTCAAAACCCGTATTCGTGATACGATGTGCCAATACTTGTATTTTAACCTGCAACTTGCAAAACTGATAATCAACTAATGTATTCCCCGAAAATCAGCCCTAGTTATATCTATCTGGTTATATCGATTTATAAGTCTGAAGACAATTTGCAATAGAAAATATGCCATGTGTGCCTGTAGTAGCCCGTAACAGAACACCTTCCCTTTCCGGGGTTGTCATTTGGCCATTTTTACGATCGGCGATTCGCAGCGTCACCAGCGGCCGTTTGCATTGCTAGTATTAAACTAAGCCGACTACATATTCGAAAGTAAGGTTAGATTTTCTCTCGGCTTAAATTTTTTAACGAAAATCTTACTCTTCTGTACCGTACATATTCATCAAAATATGTAATGCTGCTTTCGTGTTGTTTACTTTGGCAAACAAAGCATCGTAACGAGTGGTTTGTTTTGATTGGCTAAAATTTGCTACCAATACAGTAAGGCCAATTTTGATTGGACAATATTTACCAATGAATACGTAATTTTTCTCACTTGTATTACCACGGTACCAAGGAATGTAATATGTTGAATGGGGGTGTGGTTTGGACACAATGGTACAAATTGATATAATTTAAAGCGATAACGTGACTACGTTGATAATAAAATAAACCAATAGAGGATCTTAAGCTAAACAATGAAATTAAAAAACGTAGCTTACGCCAGGGTATCAATAACTGTATTAATAATCTGGTTCGATAGAGTTGGGGCCAAAAAGATTGAATTCCTCGTAATAAAAGGTGTAGATTGGATTTCAGTAGCATTAAGGTGTCCGTTGTAAGTTAAAATTAATTTCTATCTAAATGACCTGTAATAGTCGACAATGATAAGATATAACTTCTTTGGTCTAATAAAATCTCAATACAGATTTCAAATTAGAAATATAAAGTTTATAGCAAGATTATTAAGAGTATATATAAACGAAAGGAGTTGATTTCAGGTCACAGGGTTAACTCTGTATTTAATATACCGTATTTTAAAAGACTCTAATCAGATCGTTGTAAAAATTTAGAGTCGAAATTTGGTTCGATTTGACAAATATGAACGGAGTGTCAACCTTTGATACCTAAGGAGCCCCTAAGGCGCAATTGTAAACATATTTATTTATTATTTCGTTTAAACGAAATAATTATTTCGTTTTAACCCTATGGTTATTTCGTTTAAACGAATTAGTTATTTCGTTAAAACGAAATAATTATTTCGTTTAATTTCGTTTAAACGAAATAAAAAGATGGGTTAATTATTTCGTTTAAACGAAATAGACGAAAAAATTAATTCGTTTAAACAAAATAAACATAGTTTAAATGAAATAATTATTTCGTTTTATTTATAAAACTACAAATAATCATTGAAAAAGGCTTTATATTTCTAAGCGTTATTCAATAATTACTTAGTTTAATGAATTTATCGTCATATACAGGGTCTCCGTTGAAGGAAACCAGAATAATCTGTAGAACTATCTACAGCCAGATTGAAAAGAAAGCAGAAAGATATTGTAAGCATAGAGATTAAGAACCTAGGGAGATGTCACTTCAAATACTGCACAGTTGCAAAGATTACTTCAGAGTCAAAGCTTTTATATATAATTGTGATTTATACCCATACTTTCTCTCGATCCTTTGTCTTTAGAGTAGGGTATTATCTGATACACTTACACTTTTCTGATACACCTCCGCTTTTGTGAATTATTAGCCGCCGAGTATCTGAAAAATCTAGGTTTGCCCCAAAAACTTGGGGGTGCAATAAAAACAACAGTTAATTCATAATATTTATTAAAATTTATCATTGAAAGAGTTACTTCATTGTCTGTCTTTAATACATAGGGTTCTTTTTTTCTGAAAATACAAAAATTGCATTTTAAACATTAAATATAATTACATGGTATAAATTTGTATAATTTCAACGTACTATTACCACGACTCTTATTCGAGATTAACAATATTAAAACTTAGAACGATGTAATTTGAGTCGGAATGATATTTTAAATTTTCGATTGCATGTCATTGGAATTTGAATGTCATTAGGTTGACATTTAAGGTTTGTGGATTTTACATTTTACACACTTCTTCCTTTTCAGAAACATCAAGTAAAAAATGATATAAACAAATTTGTAAAATACATTTCTAAATTATAATTTTTTCATTGATTCACACGCGCCAGCAATATCTTGGACTTGATATCTCAATCCATACAAAAAATTGTTGTCAGATTGCGATTCTTTAAACATTGTAGTCGTGAATGACTCTAAATACCTTACCAAAATTCAATCTTCTGTTTGCTTCTATCCCCCTTCTCTACATAATTTTCCACAAAATTCATTATAATCCCAACGATAATCCTTGCAGAAAAATAAGCACATTATTACTAGGTTCACCAAATGCTATTAATCCAATGTGTATATTCGTGGATAAACAAGTAGCTAAAAAACTTATCCGGTCTTCTGATTTTCATATCACAATATTATTTCCTGTTTCTGGTATATAGATAAAAGATGAAAAATGTCAAATTCTTCCACAAATGGTGTTGAGATCTGTTTATGAAAGTGCCCTGTGAACTCATTGGATCACCCATTATTAGTAGCCAATCAAAATACCGATAGAAATCTGCATGCGCCTTTCAGGTCATAATACATATCAATTGATAATTGTTCATTCAAGTTGTACGTGGCCCTAACGGGGCGATTTCACAAACTTTCAAATTATTTTCTTTCAAATTTATTAAATTATCATCCATATTTAATTCTCGACAAAGTATGTTGTATAAGTCCGTTATATACACGGTTTCTTCGGTGTATAGGCTGCTACACCTACTCTTTTTCGAGTGAGACTCTAAAAGGAGTAGGTGTATCAGCCCATACATATAGAAAACCATGTATAAAACTACTACTTAACCAGAATAATAGAACAGCTTACAGAAAAGAAAAGATCTGGTCAAACAGAAGAAGATCATTCCACACCTTTGGATTCTCAAGTTGAGAAGCAACATTTCAACATCTCAAAGATGTAGGACTTACAGCCGACCTAAAGAAGTGAATTTTTAACCAGTAACCAGACCTCATTAGAATTGTTTTGGTTTTGTATTCAGCGAAAAGGGAATGTCACCTGCACCAGGAAAGTTGCAGCACTCTAGATAGCAACTGAACCAAATACTGATGCAGATCTACGAAGTCTCCTTGGAATGTGTAACTATTATTTAAATCCACTGTTGTTAAATTTATCTCATCCCCGAGATTAGAATTCATATCATAATCACTAAATTATCAATACACAAGTAGAACTTTCAATTGACTAATGCTGCCTCACTCAAAACAGATGTGGATTTCAAACAATCAGATTAAAAGAAGGATGGAGGTTACTGTTACTGTTCCTTTTTAAAAGCCGATCTTAGAGATCTTCGAGCCACCAGGTACGGCAGATTTCATTCATGCCTTACTTGATAGTTTCCGTGTGTGATAATTTTAGTCCCAAATGAAGAAATGTTTGTTTGTGCTGGCAATTACAATAACGAAAAATTCTCACTGTTAAAATAGTGCTCAATACATCAATTGTAGAGTGATATAGAAATACTACTGTTAAAATAGTACTCAATAAATCAATTGTAGAGTAATATAGAAATACCACCGTTAAAATAGTTCTCAATACATCAATTGTAGAGAGATATAGAAATACCACTGTTAAAATAGTGCTCAATACATCAATTGTAGAGTAATATAGAAATACTACTGTTAAAATAGTTCTCAATACATCAATTGTATAGCAATATAGAAATACCACTGTTAAAATAGTGTTCAGTACATCAATTGTAGAGTGATATAGAAATACCACTGTTAAAATAGTGCTCAATACATCAATTGTAGAGCGATATAGAAATACCACTGTTAAAATAGTGTTCAATACATCAATTGTAGAGTGATATAGAAATACCACTGTTAAAATAGTACTCAATACATCAATTGTAGAGTAATATAGAAATACCACTGTTAAAATAGTGTTCAATACATCAATTGTAGAGTGATATAGAAATACCACTGTTAAAATAGTGCTCAATACATCAATTGTAGAGTAATATAGAAATACCACTGTTAAAATAGTGCTCAATACATCAATTGTAGAGTAATATAGAAATACTACTGTTAAAATAGTACTCAATACATCAATTGTAGAGTAATATAGAAATACCACTGTTAAAATAGTGCTCAATACATCAATTGTGGAGTAATATAGAAATATCACTGTTAAAATAGTGCTCAATACATCAATTGTAGAGTAATATAGAAATACCACTGTTAAAATAGTGCTCAATACATCAATTGTATAGAAATATCACTGTTAAAATAGTGCTCAATACATCAATTGTAGAGTGATATAGAAATACCACTGTTAAAATAGTGCTCAATACATCAATTGTAGAGTAATATAGAAATACCACTGTTAAAATAGTGCTCAATACATCAATTGTAGAGCGATATAGAAATACCACTGTTAAAATAGTGTTCAATACATCAATTGTAGAGTGATATAGAAATACCACTGTTAAAATAGTACTCAATACATCAATTGTAGAGTAATATAGAAATACCACTGTTAAAATAGTGCTCAATACATCAATTGTAGAGTGATATAGAAATACCACTGTTAAAATAGTGCTCAATACATCAATTGTAGAGTGATATAGAAATACCACTGTTAAAATAGTGCTCAATACATCAATTGTAGAGTAATATAGAAATACCACTGTTAAAATAGTGCTCAATACATCAATTGTATAGAAATATCACTGTTAAAATAGTGCTCAATACATCAATTGTAGAGTAATATAGAAATACCACTGTTAAAATAGTGCTCAATACATCAATTGTAGAGTGATATAGAAATACCACTGTTAAAATAGTGCTCAATACATCAATTGTAGAGTGATATAGAAATACCACTGTTAAAATAGTGCTCAATACATCAATTGTAGAGTGATATAGAAATACCACTGTTAAAATAGTGTTCAATACACCAATTGTAGAGTAATATAGAAATACTACTGTTAAAATAGTGCTCAATACATCAATTGTAGAGTAATATAGAAATACCACTGTTAAAATAGTGCTCAATACATCAATTGTAGAGTAATATAGAAATACTACTGTTAAAATAGTACTCAATACATCAATTGTAGAGTAATATAGAAATACCACTGTTAAAATAGTGCTCAATACATCAATTGTGGAGTAATATAGAAATATCACTGTTAGAATAGTGCTCAATACATCAATTGTAGAGTAATATAGAAATACCACTGTTAAAATAGTGCTCAATACATCAATTGTAGAGTGATATAGAAATACCACTGTTAAAATAGTGCTCAATACATCAATTGTAGAGCGATATAGAAATACCACTGTTAAAATAGTGTTCAATACATCAATTGTAGAGTGATATAGAAATACCACTGTTAAAATAGTGCTCAATACATCAATTGTAGAGTAATATAGAAATACCACTGTTAAAATAGTGTTCAATACATCAATTGTAGAGTGATATAGAAATACCACTGTCAGAATAGTGCTCAATACATCAATTGTAGAGTAATATAGAAATACCACTGTTAAAATAGTGCTCAATACATCAATTGTAGAGTAATATAGAAATACTACTGTTAAAATAGTACTCAATACATCAATTGTAGAGTAATATAGAAATACCACTGTTAAAATAGTGCTCAATACATCAATTGTGGAGTAATATAGAAATATCACTGTTAGAATAGTGCTCAATACATCAATTGTAGAGTAATATAGAAATACCACTGTTAAAATAGTGCTCAATACATCAATTGTAGAGTGATATAGAAATACCACTGTTAAAATAGTGCTCAATACATCAATTGTAGAGCGATATAGAAATACCACTGTTAAAATAGTGTTCAATACATCAATTGTAGAGTGATATAGAAATACCACTGTTAAAATAGTGTTCAATACATCAATTGTAGAGTAATATAGAAATACCACTGTTAAAATAGTGCTCAATACATCAGAAAGAAAATTAGTATTAAATATTGCTAGCAAGAGGTCACCGATGTCTGAAAAAATAGCACTTGCAACCTTTTTTCATATTCATTCTTATAAATGAAAATAAGGGAACCCGTCTAATAGCCTTTGTTTCTATATCAGTTTATGATGACTGTTATGAATTCGATGAGAATCGCCAGCTTCCAAAATTAAATAAAATTAAATATTTCACAATATTCGAAGTAAATAAAAAAGTTTGATTAATAGTTTATGATTCCTGAATTTTCATAAAACAATGTGTTTGGTTTTATATTTCAGGAATCTTACTACAGTAAGAATGGTGGCAATTAACGGTAAGACAACATCAGAGGAAGGTGATGGTGCTGAAACCTTGCTGAAAAACCCAAAGGCTGAAAACATATCAGTACCTATAGGAGTTGTGAGCATAAAGCCAGCAAAGAAATCATGTTTTGTTGGGGGTCTCGCTGTCGTAGTCTTGTTACTATGTATCACAACTCTAGCTGTCAGCTTCTGGTTAAAATCTCAACGCCATTTGCCATCGTACTGCTTACCTTGTGACAAACTAAAAGAAACAAGAGGAACAGTTGGTAAAGGGAGGTCAACATGCTGTATCAACACTGAGTCGGAGTATGTCCAAACTATGAAACACGTAAGTTTAAATATTGATTCAACCACAATAACTACAAGTGAGTCAAGGCCGCAGTAACATTTAAAAACATATAATTTTAAGATCGAATAGCCTGAAACTGAAGTAAAAATGTGATTCAAGTTCTGGTTTAAAATTTGAAATTATAATATCCGTTAATGTATGACTTATTTGATGTCTGCCAGAAAGGTGTTCACCGTTTGAAGTCTAGCGAAAGCAAAAAACAAATTTGAAAGGAAGATGGACATAGCTAGGGACTACAGCGGGGAGTTAAATATTGCGAAGGAGAAAGTAGAGATAATAATATGAAATGAAAAATTAATAAATTTCAGATGTTGGACATGAAAATATCTAAGACCGATTCCAAACCAGAAGGATCCAAAGATCCCGACGCTTTTACAGCAGGTAAGATCTAATCCTTCCCCATCCCTGGCTACCTGACATATGAAGAACTTCGCCACCTTTGGCTTCCGGACGACAATCTCATTGGTTAGTATTAGAACTTGATTTCAATTAAAAACAAATTAAGTGACAGAACAGTCAGGTCCTCGGCCAGAGTTGATTGTTTGGTGGGGCAAGTAATATATCTAGAGGGGCAATGATGTATGGTGTTTAGTTGCAGCAATGGAATTGGCTGGTTGTTAGAATTGTTCAGAGACAAGACCCCCCCCCCCCCCCCCTCCCCACCCCCCCAAATAGCTACCGGCCTGCGAACAGTCACAAATAATAACCTTTAGTCACACGACGAAATATTACTGTGTTCCCCACTGTAGCTTTACAGTCCACCATTAATTTATTAATTTCTACTGACAATGTTAATTTCAGATAAAGAAATGAAAATGTGGATGTCTAAAGAGGAGACAATCACAATACTACACTCTTCACCAGTAGCAGCTCATGTTCTGGTATCTTGTACCAATTCCTCTTATTACCAATATCCTCAGAGTAAGTATGATATAATATCAATTCTTCTTATTACCAATATCCTCAGAGTAAGTATGATATAACACCAATTCCTCTTATTACCAATATCCTCAGAGTAAGTATGATATAATACCAATACCTCTTATTACCAATATCCTCAGAGTAAGTATGATATAATATCAATTCTTCTTATTACCAATATCCTCAGAGTAAGTATGATATAATACCAATTTCTCTTAATACCAATATCCTCAGAGTAAGTATGATATAATACCAACTCCTCTTATTACCAATATCCTCAGAGTAAGTATGATATAATACCAATTCCTCTTATAACCAATATCCTCAGAGCAAGTATGATATAATATCAATTCTTCTTATTACCAATACCCTCAGAGTAATTATGATATAATACCAATTCCTCTTATTACCAATATCCTCATAGAAAGTATGATATAATATCAATTCTTCTTATTACCAATATCCTCAGATTTCCTATTTGTGTTTGTGAGATTTCGGATCCCAACTCATAATCACATCTTTAGGAATCTTCAACTAATTTGTTGATTAATTCTGGTGGGTTTTTTTACGACAAAATTCGCAAAGGGTATTATGTGATACGAGAATATTTGGCGATTAATCAAAAACGTTTATTTTTATTAGAATTGCAGGAGCCATAAACATCTTGAAAATAGAAATGGTGCAAATTGATGCTATTAGTGTTTCCGATACACATCAAAAATAAAAAACCTCTATACAATCCCATTAAGATATGTAAAATCTATTTTTAGAAGTCCAGGATCTGCCACCTACCAGAACATTGGAGCTGTTACCGCAAAGATCTCTGTCTCTGCTACGAGGAGTGGAACTCAGAAGGGATCATCTGATCATCCAAACCAGAGGACTGTACCTGATTTACAGCCAGATCTATTTCAAGGTCATTCAGGGGACCAACTGGCCATTGGGACTGAATTTACTGTGTCATATAGTAGAAAGATACAACCGGCGAATACCAAACGATGGAATAGAGAAACTTCTACAGGATATGTACACTCTACCTAAGAGACCCCCCGGGAACACCATGTTTGATTTTCACACTAGTTATATATCTGGTGTGTTTGAGTTGGAGGTCAATGATGAGGTGTATGTCAGAGCCTCACTGGAAGATGTTGTGTCGAGGCTTCCCACTCTCAACTATATTGGTCTGGTTAAATTGGGTGGGTAACGATAGAGGGTGGACCTCATCGATCATGGCATTCCCTTTTGTACTTTCACAAGTCGAGAGCAATTGGCAGAATGTTTATATCGAACAAGGTTCCACCGAAAAGGATACCATTATCTTATAAAAACAACATTCAACACCCAAATCCAACTGTTATAAAACATGGTTTGATGCGATATAAAGTTAAGATGCGGTTTGATGTGCTGTAACGTAACACACGGTTTGAGCGGCTATAACAGCTGAACACAGGGTTTGATAGTTAGGACCCGCGTTATAACTTGGCACGCGGTTTGAGAGAATAGTACACTATACTATTGTCAACTACAACTATTTGTTGACATCAGGGTCGGACTCAAATACGAATAATATTATATAAAAAAATAGTTTCAACTCTACTATGTTTTAACTAAAACACAAAACAAGGTCATAAACGATAAAATGGATGAAAACTACTAAAAGTCATGAAAAAAAAACAAAACATCTAATAAAAAATAAAAATTTCAACTCAAATTTAAATAGAAAGAAAAAAAAAGGAGGAAGGGGAGATGGAAGGGTTGACTCCAGACGTTAACTCATCCTCTGACAGTAAGTTTTTAGAATTGCAAAACTGAATCAGTGTAAAATATTAACAAGAAACTAAAATGAAATAAATTTGAGTAAACAATTCGGTGTAATACATCTGTAAAACAACAACTATTAAACTGTACTGGTGAATCACTGTCAGTCTGTTGATGAAAAAAGCATAATGATGAATTAATCAATCGAGGCAAGCTTTAATTATATAATGATAATCAGGGAAATAAGGAAGTATAAAGTAAGCAATAGTAAACTTATGATTATGATAATCAGTATTAGTAATAACCACCGTTTGAATTGCTTCTATTCTGTGAAGTAAAATAGGGGATGCCACGAACGGGGAGAATAGACCACCTCTTACATAGAACGATTCTCAAAACTTTGCTGTACATGTTTTTATAATTTTTACATCGTTATATTTATTATATTGATTCATAAAATCGTACCATACAAAGATTTTATAATATAAAAAAATCATGAACAAAAACTCCTTGTTGTTCACTCATATTTATATGTTTTGTATCTGTATTATACGGAGTCCGTAAGGCGCAATTTTATAATATATTTCGTTTATGACTTATCATACTATTTCTGATTTTTCAATTGTTATAATTTGTCCATGTACTAATGCAGTTTTATATTAAAGATATGAGAACAAAAATCTTAGTGGTTCAGCTATTTGACCCGAGGCCCTCTATTCAAGTTGTGTATGTTAAAGATATTTGGAAATTGAAAAGATGTCTGTGACTCCATGTCTCAGGTGAAACTCCAGCTGCCAAGTCGGCTAAGTTGTTGACAGTGGTGGCGCCAGCCTCCTAAGACTGGGGTATAGATACGGGGCAGACTGACTCAATCGGGGACAATGTCGAGACTGAATTCAAAATGCGGCAACTAGGTCGAGGCGTCATAGTCGCCAGTCTCTCATGGGGCGTCTGATCTAGTGCATTCTCACACATATTTTTTGGCAAAAACGTATATCATATTTCTAAATTTGTGAAAATATAATGTAGTGGTACGGACATTTGTCTGGGGGATGGAGACAAATGTAATTAGTTTTAAACTTCTGAGATGGATTTTAGTCTGAAAAAGAAAAACTAATGAAGGAATTCAAACATTGTTTTTTGGGAATATTTATTCGTCCAGGTGGTGTAAGCCTACAAACTTAAGATGCTAGAATTAATGGTCAGTTCAAAAATCATGATTGTGGTTTTCAAGGGTAAACAGTGACTGACGGCGGTGGCTTGGGGTTTTAGAACAAATATAGGAGATCAAATTTTACACCATTATTTTTACGTTCATGTCTGAAGTCCCCTAGTTTTAATTTCATTGTATGTAAATTTTCATAAGACTTCTCTCCCGTTAGTAACAAGATTTAATAAGAACTATTCTACTGTTCTAGCAGACAACAACCCAACTTGCTACAGACTGAACTATTCCTCTGTCCTAGCAGACGACAATCCAACTTGCTACAGACCGAACTATTCCTCTGTCCTAGCAGACGACAATCCAACTTGCTACAGACCGAACTATTCCTCTGTCCTAGCAGACGACAATCCAACTTGCTACAGACCGAACTATTCCTCTGTCCTAGCAGACGACAATCCAACATGCTTCCAACTAAAATATTCCTCTGTCCTAGCAGACGACAATTCAACTTGCTACAGACTGAAGTATTCCTCTGTCCTAGCAGACGACAATCCAACATGCTTCCAACTGAACTATTCGTCCAAGCAGACGACATTCCAACTTGCTACCGATTAAATATTCCACTGTCCTAGCAGACGACAATCCAAATTGCTACAGACCGAACTATTCCTCTGTCCTAGCAGACGACATTCCAACATGCTTCCAACTAAACTATTCCACTGTCCTAGCAGACGACAATCCAACTTGGTACAGACCGAACTATTCCTCTGTCCTAGCAGACGACATTCCAACATGCTTCCAACTAAACTATTCCACTGTCCTAGCAGACGACATTCCAACATGCTTCCAACTAAACTATTCCACTGTCCTAGCAGACGACAATCCAACTTAGTACAGACCGAACTATTCCTCTGTCCTAGCAGACGACATTCTAACATGCTTCCAACTAAACTATTCCACTGTCCTAGCAGACGACAATCCAACTTGCTACAGACCGAACTATTCCTCTGTCCTAGCAGACGACATTCCAACATGCTTCCAACTAAACTATTCCACTGTCCTAGCAGACGACATTCCAACATGCTTCCAACTAAACTATTCCACTGTCCTAGCAGGCGACATTCCAACATGCTTCCAACTGAACTATTCCACTGTCCTAGCAGACGACATTCCAACATGCTTCCAACTGAACTATTCCACTGTCCTAGCAGACGACATTCCAACATGCTTCCAACTGAACTATTCCACTGTCCTAGCAGACGACATTCCAACATGCTTCCAACTGAACTATTCCACTGTCCTAGCAGACGACATTCCAACATGCTTCCAACTAAACTATTCCACTGTCCTAGCAGACGACATTCCAACATGCTTCCAACTGAACTATTCCACTGTCCTAGTAGACGAAAATCAAACTTTTTACATTGATATCTAATTTTGAAGTAATGTCTAGAACGGAATCGGATCAGTTACCATTACAGTTCACTCTTCAATGTAACTTGAAGAATGAAGAATCAATATCCGATGACGTCAGATTACAACAAATATCTATGGCGGCAAGAACACAAAGAACAATAAAATCAATCAATATTGAATAATCTTGATAATAGTTGGAATTATGGAATCTAGTGATGTTAGAGGCATATTTACAAGCCAGGAAGTACAGGATATCCGTATGCTATTATATGCCGACGATTTAAGTATTATGTCTGATTCCGTTGGAGATTAACAACGGAAAATTAATATTCTTCAAAGTTTCTGTCGTAATTATGATTTAACTGTAAATTTATCTAAAACTAAAGTAATAATTTTTGGAAATGGTGGAGTTATTCGCAAAATGAAATATTGTATTATAATAATTGTAAAATAGAATGTGTCACGTATTACAACTACTAAGGATTGATGTTTTCATCTAGATTGTTCTGGGGAACAGCTTTATATAATCTTTCTGTAAAGGCCGAGAAAGCGCTTGTGTCGATTAAATGTTTAATACGGAAATCAGGAACAATTTCTATAACGCAGTCCTTCAAGATCTTTAACGCCATAATAAAACCTGTTCTGCTGTATGCATCACAGATATGGGGGTATGAATTTAAAAAGGATATAGAACGTGTACATATTGCCTTTGTAAATTTGTTCTAGGTGTACATAAAACGAGCACAACAAGAGGTGTGTTAGGAGAATGTGGTCGAACTGAGTTATCGGTATATTATATATTAAACTATATTAAGTATTGGGTAAAACTTATCTCTATGTCAAATTCAAGGTATGCAAAACAGGTGTATATAATGCTAAAACGTTAAGATAGTGTAGAAAGAAAGACCTGGTGTTCAAATGTAAGAATGCTATTGGGTTCATTAGGATTTGGTTATGTGTTGTCAGTTCAGAGCATTGGAAATAGCAAGATTTTTATCTCCCAAATAAAATAACGACTAAATGATATTAATATTCAAGACTGGTCAAGGAAACTGAATGAAAGTGTTAGTTTATCTGATTGTAGATGTTTTAAAGTTAATTTGTGTCAAGAAGAATATTTATCATTGCATATTGATATTGATGTTAAGCGTAATATTACACACCTTAGGCTGAAACTTTTACCATTAGCATTGAATTTATACAATAGAAATATTATAGATAATCCACTATGTCCATTATGTAAATTACAAGTAGAAGATACGTTTCATTTTATGTGTGTCTCTACCAAATTATCTAATTTGAGATTTAAGTATGTGCCATTTAAATATATAAATTCAGTAAGATATGACAGAAATAAGTTTTACAAACTATGAGTAGTATATGTCTTTTCGGATATGACGCATTTCACTTCTGCGCATGTGCAGCTCTTTCAATGCGTCAAATCCGAAAAGACACAACTGTTAAAATGTATAATTATAACTCCTCAAACTGCTAAAATGTATTATAACAGACTCCCCCAAACTCAGCATTCTCCATACTACATATAAATACCCAGCCACACAAGATTCACTATAATAATACAGTATAAAATAACCGCATTAAAAATTCGAAGGAGACGGTTTCTTCTCTGCGCTATCATCGCTCATCCAAAAAGTGGCCAACTTTGTCTCAAACAAAAAATCCCTCATTTCCTCAGAAGCGCAAGCTCTTGGATATGTGGCAAAAGCAGGAGTAAATATTAGCGATGCAGTAAAAAAATCTGACGAACTTAAAGAACTGCAGCTAATAAGAGAACTAAGAAACAAGAGACTAGAACGACAAGCCCTTGAAAAACAAGGAAAAGGGTTTAAAATCATTGGATGAAAATGGCAAGCAAAAATTACAGATTGGATCCAATCTTTCAATTGTATGATCCGATTCAATATTCGTTCAACATGAAGAAAGAGGATTACGTAATCATCTCACCATCAGTAGGGACAAAGACCCAAATAAACGACGGAGGAAGAGTTACCTTTGAAATTAATTCGTTGTCCAATTGCTTGCTGCTTTCCGATGCCCATTTCCGATGCGATTTCAAAATCAAACACGCCACTCAGAATCGAATTCCACAAACCAACACGACTTTAGAAAACAACTTCTTTCCGTCTTTATTCAGCGAAATGGTTTTGGAAGCTGGTTCAAATCCGAAAGAGACCATAAAACACCCAGGCGAGTTTGACACAACGTTGAAAACGGTTCTGTATCCCAAAAACTACGATTCAGTTTCTGGATGGATTCCCGATGTCGGTGACGGAGAAGTTTTAAAAGAACCGGTCAGAACTGTAGCAAATGACGCAGACCTTGCTTGGATGAGGGTAGTTGCTAAAAACACACTGGAAAGAGTGTCTCGCGGAGTAAATCACGGATTTGAAAAAACGAGCGCTTCAATACAACAATATTGTCGAGAACAACAGATGGGGTAATTACGTAAATTAGAAGTTGGAACTTTATTTGGTCTCTTGGAACACAGAAAGGTTTCCATAGGTTTACCATATAAAATTCATTTGCAAAGAGAAATCAACGACTACAAAAGATGTTCTTTGGTGAAAACAACTCTGACGCAAAATTGGAAATATCGAATATCCAACTTTACATAATGGTAATCACTCCTTCCGTAGAAGTGGAAACGAGAATATTCAACTCTTTAACCAAAGACATCGAAATTGCTTTCCTTCGTCGTAACACGGTAGGTATCATGACTTTAACGGGAGAATCCACCACGTGGCCAATCACCAACACCGTCAAACCGAGATATCTAATGGTCGGTTTCAAAAACTTACCAGACTCTCAAGATCCCATCATTCGCAAAGTTCAAGTCAGATTGAACAACGACAATTATCCTTTCAACCTTTGACAATTGATCCTTCCAAAAAAGATTACAACGAATTGTACAGAAACTATAAAAACATGTGCGAATTGTTTGGAAATACTCCTCAGTTTGAATACACAGATTTTTCACTCAATTATCCAATATTTTTTTTTCGATCTGTCAGCTCATCAAGGGGTAAACATAAATATTCACATTGAAAAAACACAAGGAGGTGTAACCGGCTACTGTTTATTGCTAGAAGAAGCAAAACATTTGATTAAAATATCAGATAGAAGAATGATAAGAATTGAATAAAAAAACACCCTTTAAAAATGAAACCAGAAACTTTAGTTATGAAAATAATAGAAGCTATCGAAACAAATTCGCCGACTCTAATAACTTACAACGGTAAAAAAGTGCATATAACCCAAAAGATTATCGATAAATACAAACATTGCAAAGTCAGAGACGATATAGACTTGGAAAGAATTGATGAGAATTTAACTAAAAAAGGTGGATTTTACCTTTCTTACCTTTAATCTTTGCTGGTTTAGCTGCAGCTGGTGCAACTGCTGGTGGGGCTGCTGGGATAGCCAAAGCTGTCAATGATAAGAAAGCTGAAGCCGCTGCAAGCGCCGAAGCACGTAGACACAATTTGGCAATGGAAGGAGAGTAGGAGATATATTAGGGACGGACAAAGATTTGGTGAAGAAACCAAGAAAACCGTTAAAGAGGGATTAAGCAAATTAATAGATAATATCGACACCGGAGAAATCAAAGGGTCACGCCATATTTTTTTAAAAACATACGTTCAGACGTTCGGGCGAGGGAATCTTTCTTTCAAAGTATAAAGGCAACGGGGTGATTATTGGTACGAAAATGTAATAAATAAAAATGGGCAAGAAATTCAAACATTCGGACATATTTCCTAGCAACCCCATGCTCATGTGCATTTGCAGATCTTCGGGTTGTGGAAAGACTTACCTCACTTTTAACATGTTGACAACACCGAACCTTTTAGATTTCGAGTCTCTGTATATTTACACAACTACTCCCGAACAATCCTATTATCAGTTTCTCAAAGCTTTGGAATACGTCTCGAAAGAAGAAGTTCAAGACAATTTTTCATTACTACGAAAGCAACGAAGACTTGCAAGAGAACGACATTTTAGACGGCTTTATCAAAGAAAAGAATCCTTCTCTGAAACCGACCGACGTCAAAGTGTTTCTGACTAAAAACGTCAACGACCACCGAAAGAACTTGATTGTCTTTGACGACTGCGTGGCACAAAAAAGTCAAACCGTTCAACAAGAATTCTTCACGAAAGGAAGACATCACAACTGTCACTGCATATACCAATCCCAATCTTTCTACGGAATGGATGCCATGTTTATCAGAAAGAACGCAAATTGTTTTTTTATTATTCGAGTTAAACGACAAAGATTTATCTCAAATCATTCAGTCGATAAATCACGGAATGGGCAGAGATACGTTTTAAAAGGTTTGTAAAGCTCAATGGAGAAACCCTGATGATCATGGATTTGTATTTGTTAATACTAGAAAACCTGCGGGAGAAAGAGTTATGATCGACATATGTTACTTTTATTTTTTTTAAAATGACGGATTGGAATAATATTTTAAAAAGAAATAGAGAATATATCAAAGCTAAGAATAGAATAAAGACCCAAGTTGAAAATAACAGATTACAACAAATCGGATTAACGGAAAATCTACAGACTCTATTTCAACCAATATTAAAATCTCAAGAAGATATTAAAAAGAAATTAGCTTTAGAACCCACACCTCATATAGAACCCACACCTCATCACCCCAAACCGATTGAATATGGTGGAATTATAATTAGGACCTTTGATGATATAAAACGTCTTTTTTCAAACCCTAGCCCAGAATTACCAAAGAGCATTTCACCAATCATTGATGAAGTGGGGCTAATGTTTAATGGTTTTAGAATAAGATTTAGGGCAAATACCCCCGAATTTATAATCGATACAAAAGATTATATATACACATTAACAAAAGGGTTAATAGATTTAATGAATGGAGGGGATGTTGAAATTGCCGATTACAAGGATTTAGTAGCATACTCAAAATTTCTACATGCGATAAGAAAGTCAGGACCCAAAACAAGAAGATTGAAAGAAGTTGATTTATATATAACAAAAGTTATTGAGCAAGATGAAGAGGAGGTAGATGATTATGCAGAAGATTATCCACCAATCATACAAGAAATAGACGAATTCGAAGATATGGTTTCTGGACAAGATATAACGTTTTTATCCGACAACAACGAGGAACTAGTTAATAGATTACGAGTAATATTAGTGGCCATGAAAGAAGGCCATCGATCGGAAAGACTATACAATGAAGTCAATGGCATATTAAAACGACTTTTGGAGAAAAAAATCATCACTAAAAAAGATTATATAAACGTCATTAAAAATGTCCAATAAAGAACAATTGTTCGTCATCACCTCGAATAAATCAGACATCAAATTGTCTCTAGACTACGAGTATGAACCCGATCGCAATAAACAGTACGAACTGGGATTAAAGTATTTCTCCGTTTACAATTCCATTAGAAATATCAACGAAAACAACAATCAACTAAAAATATCGACGGATAACGGAGTTACATTCAAAACCATAAGCTTACTACCGGGAAGCTACGAATACGTAGCCATCAACAATTACCTATCCGAATACGCAGGAAGAGTGAGCGGTAAAAACAATATCGAATTTGAAGGTAATTTGAATCTGAACAAAATAAATCTGATCTTGAGAAATAACAGTCAAGTCGATTTCAACGTAGAAAATTCGTTGAATGCGTTACTAGGGTTCGATAAACGAATATACGCGCAATCGACATTGGCGCCACACAAGGCCAAGAACGATTGTCGAGAACGACATCGACGTGATCAACATTCACTGTAATTTGATCAACAGTGGATTTTTCAACAAGCACAAACGCCAAATCATATACAGCATACCGACTTTTACGGTGCCGATCGGATACAGAATTATAGAGAAACCGTTTCAAACGACCTATTTACCAGTCAATTCTTTCATGATCAAAGTTATAAATCTGGCAATCAAAGATGGTAAAAACAGGTTTATAGACTTTGGCAACGAAGAAATTGTAATTCAACTTCATTTAAAACGAGTCAAATAGATCTTCATTCTCTTCTTGAATAGTAAGATAATCGAAATCATCAAATTCATAGTTTCATCAAAACTATACTCATCTTTATCACTATAAGGATACATAATTCCTTCACTGTTTGGTGGTTTTCTTTTAACATTATTCAAATAACTTTTAAAAACTTTAGTTTGTTTATCATCCTTTGGAATAACTACTTCACTCGTGAAACTTTTTTCCCATGGTTTCTTAAATTCATTCGACACATCATGCCCGCTTGCTAACTGAATGTAATCTTCTACACTTATCTTATCATTAGAATAACCTTTAAATGTTTTCTTTTCTTTTGTGTATAATTTAGATTTTTAGATTCTAGAGGTAAGTACCCTAATCCAAACTTGTTTGCTATTTTTATTGAGTTAAATTTATTATAATTTCTTCAAACTTTTCTCCCAAACTCAACCGATATAAAACCCAAAGCGACAGCTGTCCACAAAGATTTTGTCCTGGCATTTGAATTTGAAACGTAGAACATTTAATTGGTTTGCTAGTCAATTTCGTTATCTCTTCTGTCGGTTCTAGACCGAAAGAATCAAAGAAATAAAAGTTATTCAAAGAATCTTTGTGTAGAGCAGAGTGGTGAACTCCTTTTTGATCCGACGTATGAATGTTTGTGATGGCGTAAAATTTACCTTTCTTGTATTTCAGTTCATCAATTTCATCTCGCATGCAATAATAAAACGGCGAGACGTTCAACTCCTTTGCCCATTTCACAAGTTGAAAGTTCGTGGTCGTGTCTTTTCCGTATTTATCGAGAAATGCATTCATTTTTAAAAGTCAGTTTTTTTGAAGTTGATAAAACCTTTCTGAAATAATGATTTTGTATTAAAGTTAAATCCCGAGATATCAAAAATATTTTGAGGTGTTATGTTATTCAGAGTATGCGGTAAGTATTGTTGAAGACCCAATTGACGAAATATATACGTAGTTTGCGTTTGAAAAAACTTGTATAACGTTCTGATAAAACACATTCAATAATATTTTGAAGATAAATTTACATTTAAATTTAAAAAATTTTAATTTAAGAAAGCGTAAATGCTTGTCTACATCTAAATTTCTTAACCTTTCATCTAAATCTTCATTTTCGAGAAATGCATTCATTTTTAAAAGTCAGTTTTTTGAAGTTCATTTCGATAAAACCTTCCTATGATTTGTTCTTTGTCTTGATCGATCAATTCATACATGGGAGGTGATGTGCTATTTATTTTATCAACAATGAATATCTCGTTAGTCCAATACCCGACGTAACCTTTCTGAAATAATGATTTATATTTAAAAATACGAACTCGATCTCCAACTTTGAATTTGGGTTTAATATTCAAATTGCTAATCTCGTTTTCAAAGATGTTTCGAGTGTTGATGGACTTTATGATATTCGGGTTATTCGAGGCTTGCG